GTATACCGTATAAAACGAAAGCAATTCATATAAATGAATTAAAACTATGTAAAGGAATATATTTACGTCTGTTATTTTATCACGGTAATATTAGGGAATGGCCCGGTTAGTTTATTTCTTTCTCGCCGCACGAAGTTCTTTTTTGATATATGAATTCTAATTCAATTGGTGAAGATTTTTATTTGAGAATTTTCTTGATTGTAGTTAATCTGCAAGTTTTATTGCTTTTATATCTTTTAGACTGCCTTTATCAGTTTCATCAGTCAGTTTAAATTTTAGAGTCAGGCAATTCTTTAATGCGTCTGATTAACTAATTTCTGCTAGTTTGTTGAAGTCATACAAAATTAAACGCATCCGTTTGCTCTTTAAGTAATTGAAACCTTTTCCCTATAGATGAAACTGTAGGGTCAATAATAGTCGTCTATTCGGAAAGGCGGTTTATACAGTATGCGGAAGTATTATTTTGGATCATTTGTACTGCCACCGAAATATTCATAACCGAACATAGTTTTCTTTTTTCGGCTGCATGTAGGTGGGGGGGGGGGATCTTCATCTACACTGCACGAATTAGCAAGCTCAGTTGAAGTGCCTAGCATTTCATCAAAATTATTGCGATGTATTGTTCATTTTAAGAATACAGGATCCTTTGAGATATATGGAACTTGGCATACAAAATATCATCAAAATCTGACATGGAATCACAAGGTACTTTTCTAAAATTTGCTTCAAATGACAATTTGTATACAGCCAGAGCAACTTTTTATTTCACATATTCAAACAATGCACCCTAACTCAGAAACGGTACGATATATCAAAAAGTGGGTAAAGACATTTCTGTGTCAAAATTATGTTTTTTGCCATTTTTAATGGCGTCACAAGTTAAGCCCGACATCATGGGAGTCACCCTGCATTTTTATATATAATCTTAATTAAGAATCAAAAGTGAAAACCCGTCCGAAAGTGTTTGTGTACTCGTGAGCCACTACGACTGGCACTGCTCTAAGCAGTGAAACATAACTTTGATAAAACTAGTAGTACTGAAACAAACACATTGCAAATACTAGCTACTGAATGGCATACACTGAACTGCATAGTAATGCTATCTTGTGAGCACGCTCTCCTTCACATTTTCTCGCAATTTTTGAACATTAGCAATTGCCGGAATTTCTTAATTGTGCTCTGTGAAGTCACGGAGGTTAAGCGAATTCTAGACTTCGCGGATTACTGGTTGGGTGATGTCTAGGGACTGCGGGATCTAACAGCTGCGAGCCCCTGGCCGAAGGGATAAAAGGCACTGACTGCGATGTGACGAGTCTTGGCAAAAATAATAAGAGAGGATTACTCCAGGCGCTCATCGCCCAACAAGGTTTCAGAGACGCGTTGCATAGAAGAAGACGTTTTAAAAAATTAAGTAAGTTCAAGGAAAATGAAACTTGCACCATTCTTTTCTCTTTCTTAGAAGAAACAAAATGGGGCCGTTTTTGACAAGATTTTTATAAATCGCATCAACTTCATTCAGAAATTCCATGAAAATTACTCGTTTTTTTAATGTATAGGACCTTTTAAGATCGAGTTTTTAGAACTGATTTAATTTAAGACAAAAAGCTCTTGTCACCAACATTATACTTTTGTAAACCATATTAATTTTTTGCAATTTTCCAAAATACGAAGAGTTTGATTTTGAAATGCGCTTCGAAAATGGGACCAGCACCATTTTTAATCTTCCTTTGAAAGGCACGAGGAAAATAATGGAGTCCTTTTTCAGAAAATAATTATTTAAAATTGCTTATATTTCATGCAAAATTACGTGAAAAGTACCTACATTTTTTGAAAACTGAAGTTAAACATATTTCAAGAACTGCATTTCAGCAAGATTTAATTAAGAAAAATCTGTTCCCAATATTGTAGTTGTAAAAAGTCGCCGAAAAAATGTCGAACTTTGGCAATTCACAAAAAATCAGGAACTTCATCGAAAAAGAGTTTGCTATCTAAAGACAATGTTTCATTAACTAGAGGTGCTTAAACAGCACATACTTTTTCGCATTAATGAACAGCGATGCGTATATATATATATAATGCAATTAAAAAAGGAAAATATGAAAAATAGTGTAATATGTAAGTGTAAAAATAAATAAAAAGTGTAATGTGGAAAATATGTTTACAGCAAAAAAAGATACATAAATCATATAAATGGTTACAAGCGACAAACATTAAGTCAAGGACTTAATTTTGAAGAACATTCATTTCTTGGGAAAATAATGGGAGATGCAGTTATTGTACGTTTCACAAAATAAATGTATACGTTTTACAACAAAAATATGTCTTTCTGTCATTTCAAGGGGCCTGACACAACATTCGAAAAACAAAATACAAGCGTATAACATTGATAATCCGTAGCTTAGCTTTAAAGGGTCAATTTTTTCATTAAATCTAAATTATTGAAATCTTTCGATGTTGCCGCTACATAACCAACATCAACTGTTGATTTAGTATTACAGCATTAATTATTTTTCTTTAGTCGTCTAGGGTCGCGTGGGGTTGCCCTTGTAATTCTGAAGATGCTGAGAAAAATTCAAACTTTTGTATCATTCAAAAAATCAAAGTTAACAATAAACATCGGACCTATGCCACCTTGAGAACATATTTCAATCTATTCTTACAACAAATCCGAAGAGAAAAAGTGGAGCCATTTTTGAGAAAACATAAAAGATGGCCTTGGGACGTCATTTAAAGTATCCCCAAATTTTAAACAATATTTTTTGAACTCGTTAAGCTTTGAGACAGGCTAGATCGACCAGTTAATATTCACTTTCGATAAAATTCTAGGAATACTTGTAGTTTAGGCCCTAGTATTGTTCACAAATGGGCAGACAGACGGTCAGACGTTTTGAAAAAAAACAAAACAACAGTAGCAATTTTTCGGTATCAGAAGGCCCCCAAACATGCATTTTGTTGAAATCTCAAAATTGATTTTCCGCATCATTATATAACTTTCTCTACACTACATATATTACTTAGTATATAGGTACGTATACGAGAATGTAAAACCAATGTTGAGACGCGGAATAGAGCGAATGCATTATCTGACAAATCTCAATCGGGCCACAAGAGAACCGCCTGCTTGCCTCGCTCCCAGCCCGCCTCTTTTCACTTACGGAATGCTTCCGTGCCTCTCGGAGCCGGCGCCCCCACGCGCGGCTTGGGGGGAGGAGGGCATTGTATTTTGCCAAATATTACTTTACGACGCGCCTATTCAGTCGATTTGTAAGATTGATACGGCGTTGGATTCATGAAGCATTTCGCCATCGCGTTAAAAGCCCACATTTTTAAATTTATTCCCAAAACTATTTTTTTTTAAATCCAAAACTTATTTTGCAATTTTTTTCCAAAGAGGCCTCGTAGCCTAAATTTTATTTTAAATACAAATCCTACGTCGTTTACTGATTGGAAATCGGACCACTTGTTCAGACGTTATTAGTAAAGTAATTTTGGCTTATTTTGGTGCTGCTACGTAGTGGCAACAAATTGAACTAGTCTCGGTTAGCCTTAAAAGCCTCGACGCTCCGGCCATCTTTTTGTTATAGCTAAAAGTTCCACTACTCACCGCTGCTCGTCGACCATTCCTCGATCGGCTACATGCAACTATGCGGAGATCCGAATTACAAACAGGACTTTTCAAGTTAGAAGCTTTGAATTCAAGTACTTAGGCCTCTGTGTTACTTCATGAGTAACGGCAGCAATGTTCTTCACGATCATTGGTTCAAAATGTTCACAAATTATGTCAGCGATCGTCATTGCGCTCTAGCCACACGCAATGAAACTGCTTTTTGCAAAGCTGACTTAATATATTTTTTAAGATTTCTTTTCATACCAATCCTTTGAAGTGTGGTACAGCTTTCACAACAAACTGCGCTACCACCGATTACCTTCAGGGTTATTTAAAGATGAGATTGATTTAACACGTCAAGAATCTCAATTATCTCCCCATAGTAAATAAATATTAACATACATTCATGTTTTTCAACGTTAATAAAATACATAACCCTTAACGTATAATATAGTTTAAAGACTCAACAGTTATTAAATAAATACATAATGGTATAAAAACTATTTTAGATTTAAATTTATTTAGACAAAACACAGTATGTGACGTGTGGGGGAGGTCATCTGCGCACTTTTGAGTTCCAAGAGTCCCTTCCCATCATTTTAACAATAAATAGTTAAAAGATGAGTAAAAGTTTAAAATAAATAAATTTAAAAAATGCGAGATTAGCAATATTTGAAAAAAAATAGACATTTTCGTTTCTAAGTTATAGAAAACGTATTGGCATCGGTAACGAATTGAAAGTATGATTTTTCTGCATTACTAACAAAATAGTAACTTGACCTTACCTCTACCCCTACCATTACAAACAAAGGAGAGTTCACCAAAGGATACTGAAGCTACATGTACGTCCAGAAGCAAAACAAGGGGCCATCTCAGCATTTACTCAATGAATCAGGGAAACTGGACAAAAACCTGATCGAGATTAAGTAATGCTTCGCTATTTTTTCGTTTTTATCCAGTCTTTACAAAGTTTAAAGGTATTATATGCATTATAGTTCTCTATAATGAAAATACAGTAAATATAAGAAATAATTAAGAATAGATATTGTATTTATATGTCAAAAAGAATTACGGCTGCATCACTAACCAGGTATGTTTCACGCACTCCTATTTAGGGTTAATTTGACGTATGCACTTCTCAATTTCTTTTAAGCAAACTGCACAGAGATATATAATTTTAGTATTGTTTAGTATTACCATCAACATGAGTTTGCAATGCCTCATCACTGTACTTCTCCATGTATTAAGCGGCGACCAGCGCTCACAATGTGAAACTTCGTCTGTTTGCTAGCTCCCGAAGCGATGTGCCGCGGCTGTTAGGCATACTAGCGGGCTATGATTCATCACAATTTGAAGCAACAAGCAAGTAGGTAGAAATAATAGAAAAAAATAAACTGGTACGAGAACAATAATTTATTTTCAAAACACAAGAATCATTGCAAGTATAATTGTGGACTCTCATACAGAAAAGTACATAAATCTCAGAAATGTTTATATTACAGTTACCATTGACTTAAATGAAATAAATACTTTATACATGTCAAGTATAATTAATAACCATGATAGGAACAGCATGTACTCCATGAGTGTGTCTGGTAGTTTTTTAAGAGCGTTTACAACTTCCCCACGCCATGGAGATTTCTGTGTTTCTTCATGTCCTGCTTCTGCGCGAAGGAGCGGCCGCAAATATCGCACGAGTGCGGCTTTTCCCCCGTGTGAATTCGAATGTGAATTTTCAACCCGTTCGAGCGCCGAAACGCTTTGCCGCAATACGAACAAGGGTAGGGCTTTTTGCCCTGGTGGATCCACATGTGCTGGTAGTAGGAGTGGCTGGTGCGGAACGCCTTGCCGCACACGTTGCACTTGAAGGGGCGCTCGCCCGTGTGCTTGCGCTGGTGCGCGTCTCGCACGTCCTTGAGGCGGAACGCCTCGCCGCACACCTCGCACGCGTAGGGCTTCTCGCCCGTGTGCAGCCGCGTGTGCGAGTAGAGGTGCGCGCTCTGCACGAATCGCTTGCCGCACTCCATGCACACGAACGGTTTCTCGCCGGTGTGGATTCGGCGGTGCAAAATCAACGACCTCTTTTGGGAAAATCTTTTGGAACAAAATTCGCACTGAAAAGGGAGCTCTCCGGTGTGGTTCCTGCGATGAGCCACCAAAGTCACGCGATAAGCGAAAGACTTGCCGCAGTCTTCGCATTTAAAGGGTTTCGAAACTTGAGCACTGTCGTCCACTTCGTTCATTTCGGCATCCGGATGAACCTCTTTTCTGTGCTCGATGAGTTTCGCATACGATGAAAAAACAGATCCTCCACACAATCTGCACGAGTACGTCCTCGGACGCTTTCTCTCCTCGGAAAGGTGAGCTATTGTATGCTGCTTAAATAAAGTCTTCCGCGCGAAACACCTGCCGCACTTTTCGCATTGGAATGGTTTGACATCTAAGTGCGTGAGTCTGTGGCCCTTTAGAGTCGCCTTGTCGTAGAATTTGCCTCCGCAAATGTCACATTCGAAAGGGCGCTCCCCTGTGTGCACTCTTTGGTGGGCAATAAGACGCGCTTTCAACTGGAACGTTTTCCCACACTGATCGCAACAATGCGCTTTTTCGCGCATATGAACCAATCTAACATGATCGTACAAATTGTTTTCACGGCTGAACATTTTACCACAATGTTCACAAGTGATGGAACTTCCGCCCTGGTGAATTTGCTGATGAAAATGAAGGCGCACTTCTGTGAGGAAGCTTTTCCCACATTCATCGCATTTAAACGGTCTGGGTGAACTACCACAAGCATGACCACTTAAAGTTCTTTCTGAATTGAAACGTTTTCCGCATAGATTACATGTTAAGCGTTTAGATGCCCGATTTTTGGACCTTGCACTTTCTAAATGATGCTTTTCACAATGACTTTTAAAACTTAAAAGGGAAGTAAAACACAAATCACACACGTTACAAGGATAAAAATCAGTTTCAAAATGTGATTCAGCATGAGAAATGCACAATTCCATATTATCAAAAACATCATCACATATGCGGCAATTCATTTTTCCAGCAAACATTAATCGTTTGCTTTGTCCATCATTATGTGGAGTAGACACTAAATCATCTTCCCTGATATCCTCACTACCCTCCAAACTCTTATCACAATCTGCTGGTTCAATGTTATTGCCTTCCCAGATAATTTGTGTTTCAGAGGAATGGTTATTGGAAAACAAGTGATCATCTGCTGGTGTTGTGGGGTTGCAAATAAGATCTTTTTCTTGATTATTGCCCAACATAGAACTGTTAACAATAATACTTTTATCTCTTTTAAACATCATGCTTCCCCCACAACACAGAGGGCAATCAAATTTTTTCATATCGACAGTTTCATGACTAATTCTACAATCTTCCGAGTCACTGTTATCACCATGTACATGTCCTGCATACTTTGTTTTCTCTTCATTTTCAGAAAATGCAGTAAGACTTTCATTGGAATTATGATTTTGTAAATTCACTCTTTTTAGTATACTGGAAGAATGTGATCTGCAAAAGAAATTACCTGAGAGATTAGTATAATTTATTATGATTATCATTTATTTCATGCAAGAGAAACATAAATCGCAAAGAAAATTTTAAAAAATAGAACTCGTTAGAAAAAATCCATACAATTTTCTTTTTTTTTAACTTGAAGATAAAAACGTGAGGTCCTGTTCAATATACAGTAGAACCCCGTTATTGTGAACTAATTGAGGGTGTGGTGTGTTCGGATTAAGATATGTTTGGTTTATCCGCAAAAGTGTATTGTACATACAGTACATCTAGGGGATTACCAGACACAAGGCAACATGGCATGAGATGTGAGGAAATGGCAATGTGGCATAGCGATTACTTCATCACATCATCAAGCAGATCTGTTACTTACGGCAAAAGAAGATAACTGATTATGCAATTCCTCCAAGTGATAATACTGCTACATAAATATGAGATAAACACCATAGTTACCAATTCAATAAACATTTCATTTCAATAATTAGTTGTTCACTTCCACAGTATTTATAAAATCCTTTTACACTACAAATGTGCATTTTTTGGTTTCTTTTTTACTCTACCCTGTATTTTGTTCAGATTATCCCAAATTTTGGATTTGCGGGTTTCTGATTAGCTGGGTTATACTGTATTTCAAATTATCAGAGATTGCACAAATGACATAACAACAATAATAAAACAGTGAAAAATTTGAGGAGTAAATTTTGAACATTATTAACTTGATAACTTGGAACCATTAACGTTTTTAGAAATTCTCTAACCTCTGACATAGGATAGTAAGGCAAGTATAAATGCATAAGAGAAAATGTGTGTCAATGCTCTGCCTTTTCCTCGCATTTTATAAACCAATTTGAGGCAAGTTTCTCACTTTTCAGTGGGGTGTCCTGGGCTTAACTTCAGTATTTATGATGGTGCCACGCGCATATAATATTTATCTTTTCACATGTAAATTCTGTAATAATTTAATATTAAAAATATTCAAGTCTATTAAGACTATCAGATAATGTATCTGTGCTGCTTTTCTCAGCTAATACAAATATATCTAAATTTTAACAAACATAATACTATTTATAATGATCACTATTCACTATTTGATCTCATTTGGATTATATTCAGATTTTAATATCTATCGATCCAGTATTACCTTGCGACAGATTCCATCCTGCTCTTTATTTTAAATACTCACTGATTATTTAATCATTTTGATGACATGAAATTACGGAGTGTGTTCTATGACTATAAAAATTGTGACTATGATTCTATCATTTATTATATTAATAGTATAGACTGGAATTTTTACTTTATCAAACACAACATTGATTTTAATGTATCATTATCTATAACTGTTTACATACTTTAATCAATTACTTGGTTCCGAAGAAGCCGGTTTTTGTCAGTTCTTATCTGTGTTGGAAATCTTTGGAGCGTATTGACTACATCAGAGAGAGAGAGAAAAAAAAAGAAGTTTCACAAACTGATGATCTGATTTTTAAGTTACATTTTCTGCCTTGCGGGCCAGAGAATCTCGTTTACAGCATGTCCTTTTCCACTTTTATGTTCATAAAATTAAACTATCTGCTTCTATCAATTCTAAATCTGATTAACAAGCTGACATACTTTGACATCAATGATCCAATCCAATCATGGATACGCTCCAATCTTTCTGGAAGGTAGCAGTAGATTGTTGCTAATGTACTTGTATTTCTGTTGTCCTTTTTCATACTGACCACCCCATCATTTGTTGACATAATATTAAATATGACTGTTATTGCACCAAGACCAATTTTTTGGTTTAAAAAGTTGATACTATTTTTTTACATATATACAAGTACTGACATTTTTGTTAATTATGCTGATCACAAAATAAACATTTGATAATCACTAATTTTGTATTAGTTGCAGCAATTAATTTCATAAGTTTCAGTGCAAATAATTACATCTGACTTAATGATCATTGCTTAGATCACATTTCAATTTGTCCACATTTTTATCTAAACTGATGTAAGTATGGATTACGTATAGTCCTTTGCTGTCTAATAAGATCATATTCAGATCATTTACACTAGCATAATTTGTGGTGGTTACTTCAAAGAATCAGTTTTCTGTGTCCCATCAAAAATAAAGAGGATTGAATATTTTTAACACTCCATTATATTGTGTTCTAGATATAGTAATGTATGCTAACATAGGTACTAAACAAACCACAAGCTAGAAGCGTCTAACAACCCGAATGAAAGGAAGGACGAAAATCAGATTGGAAAACAACTTTTTTCAAGAGCAAAAAATTATGGACATTAAGAACTTGAAATGAGAAAGAGGCAGAAAGGAGTGGAGTGAAATACATGCACAAGCCAAAATTCACATTGGATTGTAGCACCAAATGAAGAAGAAGAAGAAGGGAAAAAAGAAGACAAAGAAAAAAGAATAAGAAAAAAAGAAAGAAGAAAAACGAAAGAAAAAGAAGGAAGAAGAAAAAGAAGAAAAAAGACAGAAAAAGAGCAAAGAAGAAAAAAGCAAGAAGAAGAAGAAGAAAAAAGAATAAAGTAGGAAGAAAAAGAAAGAAGAAGAAGAAGAAGAAGAAGAAGAAGAAGAAGAAGAAGAAGAAGAAGAAGAAGAAGAAGAAAGAAGGAGAAAGTAGAAAAAAGAAAAGATTAAAGGAACCAGAAGATAAAGAAATAAATTGTTATGTTTCTAATGTGCATCACATTTTTTGAACAATAATTATCCTTTTCTTTTGTATCTCTCTTTCATTTTGTACTTTCTTATTATTATTCTGGTGTAATTCTTTTGTGCAATTCGTCCATCTCTTTCCACACATCCAAATTTCATACTTGACATTTGGATATGTGGATAACATTAAAATGCATTTTTTTCTGTGTATGTGTTTGAAAACTGTATAATTATTTATTTTGTAATTTTTAACAAGTACAGGCATGTTCCATTAACACATGTGGCCTCAGATATGTCAAATCCCGGTGTTTCTAGTCTCCCAACCAGGAACCTGCAATGTCTTGAATTTGTTTAGCCTTTATGACTTCATGTAGTTAATGAATTTGGCAAGTGACGATGTGGGTGCGGCTTTTCAGTAGAACCATCCCAGCATAAGCCTGGATGACTGAGAGAAACCACGAAAACTCCATTCAGGATGGCCAGTAAGTAACTCAAAAATGCCTCGCAATTACAAAATCAGCACCCCATGCCCTGAGCCACATCGCTGGGTAATAATTTATTATCACATTGCAAATGTAGTATGATTTTACTACTATTATTTTTTGTATTAATATACATCTTACATCGTAGTTTCATAATACTATATTATCATATTGCAAAAATACATTTATATTTTATTCTTGGAGAAAAACCTTTCCAGATCTCTACAATTAGAAAAAACTATGATAAATACCTACATGAAGCATTTTCTCCTATTTAAACGTAGCAGTTTATTTTCAGCTTCAATACATGATTCAGCAAACTCATGACACAGATTAAGTTTGGCCACACAGGACATGCACAACTGTTTAGGTAATGGATCAGTACTTTTCACCTAAAACAGAATACAAAGAAAGTGTTTACAATTCTATCTAGAATATTAAGAAATATTATTGGGATGACCACCTTTTATTGAATTCACAAGGGGATTTTAATTACTGGGATTATAATAATAAAACGTGAAATGTAAAGTGAATTTTAAAAAAGTCACATGCTCTAAGAAGATGTATGGTGTACTGTAAATGTAAGGAACTGAAAAAAGTGAGGGACAACAGTAATGGCTTGTCTTAAGAACATTTCTTTACAAAAGCTTAAATAAGGAGACTTGAATGTTCTTTACAAATTTGATTGGGACAATTGTTTAAGGATCCAGACAGTAACAAAGTATCTTTATTTAAACAGCTGTCAGGATATAAAAATATGTTCAAAATGACTTATATTTTTAATTTTTACTATTATTATTAACAATATTAATATTAATAATTTTTTGAAGTGGGTGTAATGCTTTATGCACAGGCAATTTTAGATATCCTGTGTGTGGGACTCCCCGAGTAGGTCTACCCACTAAAGCTTCTCCGTTCCAGCCAGAATGTCTTAGCAAGAAATCACAGTCATGACATTTCATCTTACCAGACTGGCTCGGTAATCTCTAGGATCTTTCTAATACTGTCCTCTGAGGGCTTCTTTCTTCATACATCTTTTCATGTAGTTATGAATTTTTGTCCAGTTTTCTTGTTTCTAGCATTATACTATGTTTTTTGGTGAGATATCCTTTCCAATACTGGAGTTGGTTATTTCTTAGTCTACTTGAAAATCTCGGCCGTAAAAAAACACATGCTCTGCGTCAGCTTCTGTTCTGCAAGTGGTACACATGTTGTCGTTTCTTTCTGAAGCGGTATAAGTCGCTTCTGAAGCTTCCATGGCGTGTGAATGCTTGTAACAGGTAATCGGTCTCAGCATGCTTTCTTTCTATCCATTTCTTAATATTGTGTATTAAACTATAAGTTCATCTTCCTGTCATTTCTTTTCACCAACGGCCTTGTCATATCAGAAAGAGCACCTCACTTTCTTCTTCCTTCACCCTGTCTGTCTGCGTCTCCCTTTCTTTCAGGATTTCGTAGACGGATGTTCTTTCCTTTATCAGAAGGTCGATAGGAGGTACGCTTGCTAGCACAAGGGCGGCACTATCAGGGACTGCTCGGTAGGCCGAGATGATCCTCAGTGCTACCCCTCTCTGTACCGACAGCAGCCTACTCCTAAACTTTTCTACTTTCATAGCGCCCACCCACGCTGGAGCTGCATAAAACATTTTGGACATGACTGACCCTGCTACCAGTCGTCTGGTCTTTTCTCTCGGGCCCTAAACATTCGGCATTAGTTGTGTTAGATTTCCTCCCGCGTCCATTGCCTTCATCGCTACCTCCTCCACATGCGGTCCAAAACTTAAGCAATTGTCGATTTCTATTCCTAAATAGGTAATGTGTTTCCTCCATTGTATTTCATTGCCTCCCACCTCTATTCTCGGCCTCCTAAAGCCGCTTCTCTTGATCGGAACCGCCTCTGTTTCTGTCACCATGTCTTATTTCCGTTTATCCAACCACCTTTTAGCTGCCATACAACCTTTCATTCGTTCGCATTTCAAGGAGGTCTTCGCTTCCTGCTGCGCTACAATTAAGGCGTCATCCGGAAATCCAATAATATTTACTTCCCTTGGGAAAGACTTTTTAAAAAGTCTTCGTAAACCAGGTTCCATAGCATTTGGTCCAGCCGAGGTCCTTAGGAGACTCCACATGTCATTTCTTCTTTAATTCTCCAATTATATAATGCTTCTCTCGCTTAGGTAGTCACCAATAAGATTCGTCAGGTTGGCTGGGATATTCTAATGCCTCTTTTACATCTTCCCAGCCCATGGAGATGAATGAGTTCCGAATGTCCGAATAAGGGCGTAAAAGACTTTCTTCCTGCCGCTGTCTTCTCTTGCCAGTTCGGCTGCTTCCTTGATAGCGTCGATCGTTCTGCCTTTACGGAACCCGTACTGGTTATGAACCAAGCTGCTCAACCTTATCATGTGCTTCCCCATGCGCTGAAGAATTAAGCCTCGCATTCTGCCCATGGTATCCAGAAGGCAGATAGGCCTACGATGCATTATCCACCGGCTTATGTCCCTTCCTTAATAATACAAGCTTCTGACGCTTCTAGTCTTTGGCAAAGTCTGAAGATCTCATACACTCATTGAAGTGTTCCAATAGAAGGTCCGGATACTCTGCGAAGACCACTTCCAGTACCTCGTTCGGTATCCCGCCAACCCAGGTGCCTTGCCTCTTCTCATGAATTTACCAACTTCTTGCAGCTTACGGGTCATGAACATATCTGCCTCTACCACTTTATCGAAGCTGTTCCTTATCCTTTTTGGGCGTTTGGGAAATAGATGTCTAATTATTTATTCGGCTTACGTTTTATATCACAGATATTATAAAATTCACCTTACTCAACAATTTTGTTAGACGTGCCCCACGGATCATTTTCAACATCTAATATCAGCTTTCTCCAGCACATGTCCTTGCTCATTCCTATTGCGCGGTTGAGTTCCTTCCTCTTCCGCTTGTAATTCTTTTTAAGATGCCCCTCCCCCTTCGCCCTCGTACATCATCTGTCTGCTACGCAATCACTCCTTAGGAGCGCTAATTCCTGTGTCTACCAATATTTTGGTCCCCTACGATACCTGCTGACCGTCTTTTTTAGGGGCATCGATAGATTGCAGGTCCTATGGATAACCGTTTAAGCCCTGTCTACCATAGTCTAACTGTTTGGGGTTGAATTTCCCACCGCAGCTCTTGAATGTACATAGATTATGTCAGGGATCTTTTTACATTCTCTTCGTTAAGTTTCCGAGCATTCCATGTCTACTTACGACAGTTTTCTCGCCTTTTAGAAGACGATTGTTTGGAGTACTGTTTTCCCACAATCCTAAAGATATATAGTTAACTATAGTCACTTAGTAACGCTTTCTCTAGGACTTCCCTTTCTTCAATGTGACCTGCTAACCGTTGATTTGCGATAGACAGGTCAATTATTGACTTGGTGTCTCCTCTATTGAACATCGGTGTGACTATTTATCACCACCATGTCGTCTCGGGCTACCATTTCGCTTATTAAGATCCCTCCTGTCCATCCTTTCTTCGCCCTACTCGGGATATTTCCCATTGAAGTATCCAGTCACCAGTACATCTCGTGTGGATTCGCCTATGCTTTCTTCCAGTACCTCAAATTTATCCATGAATTGTTGCAGTCCATCATTTGGGGAGAAATAACAACTCTATATTCACCGGGCTTTGTCTCCACACACACAACGCAATGGGTAGATAACTTGTATTTACTCCCCTTGATTCGCGGTTTACATATGACGATAGCCGCTCACCCAAAACTATCTTGGTTCCATTCAGCCAAGTCCTGCCGACGGTTAGGTATGCTAAGAAGTAGCACGTCAATATTATTCTGACTCGCTGTCTGTATCGGTAAAGTTTGAGCTCCGGGGCTTCTACCCATATTTATCTGCAGAAAATTTAGATCCATAAGTCCTTTGTTTAATTGGTACAAGGGCTTCTCTCAATACGAGACATTTACCGCCTCCGGACGCATATCTATCGTCAACATCCATGTCCTTGTCCTTACAAGCTACGCACATTCTTTTTCATTTATCATTGCATTTTTTCCTGGTATGCCCTACTTCACATTCCCAACAACTGTTTCTTCTGTTGTGTCCCTTGCATCCTCTGGCCACATGGTAATAGCTTAGACATTGGAAGCAATGACGAACTTGTATTCTTGCTCTAACTCCACAGAACACTATTCTTATTCTTCCTATTCTTATTGTTAGTAGCCCTAATTTTATTCTTATCTTGAGAATATCGTTGGTCATCATCTTTGAAACCCTTATTAATGATGTTTGCATTCCGGTATAACCTTTCAGCAGTGCGCATTCAATATTAATTCTCGACTCGTTCCTCTTCAGCGCTTTTCCCCCCTCTGCTATGACTTCCTCTTTAGTTGTCACTACGTCGATATCTCTTACCTCTAGCGTTACCTTTGGTATCAGAGGTTGTAACATAGCGACATCGCTCACTTTTCATCAGCGCTTTTGTTTGTTTGTTTTTCAACTCAGTCACGAGTCCCTCTCTCCTTGTTCTTCTCACTCTTACTACCTCATCGTTTCCTCTCATCTTTTCTGAGGTGCTGAGTTTCTTTAAGATGTCAGCCTATGAAATCCCTTGTCTTGCTGTAATCTTAGAGCCTCATTTCTTTTAAATACAAGTCTAGCCTTTCCTTGTCTCTCTTTTTGCTCTTTTTTCTGGATTTCCCATTGCTCCTCGTCCTGAACATCAATTTCGAACGATTTACTCTCCTGCTTACTGCTCTGTTTACCTCCACTTTGCTTTGACCAAAGCTTTCTTCACGGTCACCGGGTTGTTCTTCAACATACGGACGTCTGAAGATTTTGGCTCGGACCCTCAATAATCTTCAAGTGTTCTTCTAGCTGTGTTCTTCTAGCTGTTGGTCTCACATATTTTCATCACTCTGCTCTCACTCGTAGCAATATCTGCTAGGGGTGCCGAGACGTCCGTACCCTTGGCATTGTAGTCGCTGGGTGACGACGCCCAGTGGCCTGCCTGCTCACCACCGACCGCCCGTACTTGGGTTCCGATCCCCTGCACTGTAATGGTTGATCCTAAAAGACCTTTCATCCTGGGTTTTTCCTTCAGGGTCACCTTCCCGTAGCGTTTTTTGAGCTACTGCCAGCTAAAAGGGAATAGGAGATAAGAAGGGGAACAGTGAAGATTAGAGTTAGAATAAAGGAGTAGAATAAAAACGATTCCCTAGCCCTTGCAACTTAATAGCGCTGGGATCGAAAACACAAGAGTTGGCCGATAAGAAGATTGGCCTACAGGACAGAAAACAAGTGAGTCACAAGTAAGTGGAAGCAATGACACACTGAGATTGTGGGAATTACAGGATGTTTAGGAAAGTGACAGCGAATAGCTGCTCCAATTAGTTGCCTTCTACGACAGAGGGAGGTCCCATGGTGCTATTGTTCTAAAAACCCTGACACCACACGGGGGATGATGATGTTGATGATGATGATGATGATTATAATTCATTTAAAATTTGAAATTATATTAATAGAATTCAACTAGAATAATGACAAGGGCAAATCTAACCATACAAATACTTTAACCATAGTTTATAACTAGGAACATGATTTTATGGTGAATAAAAATGATCAATGTTTGTGTCAAAAAATGGGCTGAAAGCAGTAAAATAATTAAATAGACTATTTACATATCCAAATTCAGATATAATGATTTTGCAAATATATCACAAAGAAAATTAAGACTTCACTGAATATCATATATAATTATGAAATCTGCATTTAGACTTTGTGTTTAATCACAAGCATGAACATACATTACTGCTAGAGTTGAATGTTTGAAATTAATAACACAACATTTTCACTGAATATTAACAATTTTTGCATTTTTGAGGTTTACCAAAAAATTGTGTTCCTAACTTTACAAATAAGCCAAGGAAACAAATCCGATACCCCATGTTATATTTGGGACAAGTAAACTTCAAATTATATTAAAAATTCACTCTAACCGTAATAGGCAAGCAGGAATTAATTTTCTTGGCGATTTGTTGTTCTTGGCCCGTGTCATTAAATATGTATACCACATCACTAATATGGGAAGCACAAAGGCGACACAACTGATTTAAACTCTCAGTCAGAATATCATCCTCGTGCTCTTCTGAAACTGCTCCATCACTGACATCAGAAAGCTCTTCTTTAATTAATGTATTAGTCCCTGAAAGTTTCAAACAGGACCTATAAATATTTAATGAACATGATTGATAGAAATATTTAAGTTGTATACTCATTTGAAATACTAAAAATATTACACATAATGAAAAGAAATATAGTTACTAAAAAATTCACAAATTGTGCATTGCAAGTACATGAACTAATGAATGCTACGAAAAGACAAAGTTTTAACATATTTAAAGTGCACAATAAGGCAAGAAAATATAGGAGTGATAAAGGCCAAGTTGATTCTCTCTCTCTCTCTCTTTCTTCTTTAAATTTTTTTTTACAAACAAGGTATACATGAAATTTGTTGAATTCTGTAAAGTATAACAATAATGAAATTTGATACAATAAATGTAATAAAAATAAAAATGTAATAATTGTATATATTATTCACAAGATTGTGTTATATAAAGTAATTTTTCTTCAGTTTCCTTTAATATAGTAAAAATGTCAGTTTCTATTTAATATAGTAAAAATGAAGTAGCCTTAAATTATTTCTTAACTATGTCTATGGGGTCATAAGCTTCTATCTTAATAGGGTTTATGCAGGAATTATTCAGGGCCAATGCATGAATGGTCCCTTGCCTTTCGTGCCAGGAGTAAATTGTTATAGTGTGTTCAATAATAGGTAAAATAGCCAAGAGTTTACATTTTGTCCAAAATAAAGGGAAATGCATGTAACACTTGAACACTAATCCGATGTGCAATTATAGACCCATTAAATTACATTGACAGGAGTATTTTTCAACTTATCTAGAATGCCTAAACATTTTATTTTTGACTCCTCTGCATTTTGGGTCTGTAGAATGCAAATGGATCATCATACAGAAGGGGATATAGCAGAGAGAGTACTTTGTTTTCTGATGTGCAGGTAGGGTATAAAAGAAAGAATAAGTTCACCTCATAGTGTCATAAATTGAAACTACTAATACTGTTGGCATTATTCATCTAATGTCAAGAAAACACTCCATAAAAACTAGAATTAGGAGATTACCTATACAATCACTTTTTAATAGTATATTGAATCTTGGAATCAATACCAGAGTTTTGCAGAACACGTGAAAGTAAGAAAATTTGTAAGAGGGATTATCTCTGAAACCTTACTAATGGGCTCGCAGGAACCCCTCCTTGACTTTCAGATGCGAGTGCTATGGATACCTCCATCAAAATATACCCTTTGTAAGGTTGAAAATGTAATTCAGATGGAAAAAAGTCATTGTTCTTGAGAAAATGTTCAAAGTCAGATTGCAGATAAAGTGTAAAATCTATCATGTTCATTCACTTGTGTTTGAGGAACTATGAGTATCAAAAATAGTATTTTTGTAAAAGCATTATTTATTATAATACACTCTTTGTATTCCATTTTTGAAAACCATTATTTGTATTAAATTTTTAGAAAATTGTTGGGCAACAGAGAAGGCCTAATGGCCAGAATCTCCTCACAAATGAAGATCAAACTTTTTAAAGTTGTTTTCTGTTCGATTGGAGGAGGGGAGCTCACTGCTACATGATCACTCATGTGCTCGATTAAAATTATTTTTATTTAGTGTCAAACTGGTTCTGTGTGTGCTGTGCTACATGTTCCCTTTCCTTCTTCTCTTGGTTAACAGAGTAAAACAATAGAGCTAATGCACTCCTCCCAGCAGCAGCGTAAGGAAGAAATGTATATTGACAACTTATTGGCCAAAAATTACAATCTATTTCTGGTAAGTCATGAAAAAATTAAAATTTATCAGTAACGACTTTCACGTATCATAATTGTATTGAAAAACTTAATACTCTTTCATTTACAAGACATTCACACTGGTTTTTGGACAAAAAAGTTGAGAATGTGTTTTGCAAAAGGATAATTTCACCTTTCTACCCACAATCAAATTTGCCTTTATTGCCAGTTGTAGTGGTTGTTGTCATCATCAGTCTTCATAGATGACAATCATTTAATACACTACAGTAAAACTTGTTCAATGTGGAATGTGTATAATGCAGAAATCTGTTTAATGTAAACATGACATGAATTGTGGTTCTGTCAAGCACATGTTCTACTGTAATACACTGTACAATGCGGAATCTTGTTTTATACAGAAAAAAATACTGGTTCCCTTGAGATTCTGAATTGAGAAAGTTTTACTGTATTTCCTTTACAAAATCTATGATATGTTTACTGATAACTTCTAAAATAAGCCAGAGATGACATGGCCCTGCTTACTTTCCATGGTTAGTTTCAGAAAAGCATAGTTGATTAGAGATAGTTTTCTTTAATGATACATCAAGATCTTTTTCAAAGAGCTCAACAAAACCTTTTATTATTGAAATTCATCTAAAAGGCATCTTTTAACAAGACTAATGTCTCCATGTCAAGGCTATTCATGTTTTCAAATAAATGATATCACAAGTATACATAAACCACTGTGACATGTATGTATGTATGAAAAATTTGAGAGTTAACATACCAAATATCCCATCTTCATAAACAAATTCATTTTTGAACATATTTTCATGGCAACTGAATACTGTTGGGATGGCTTCACTCTTCAAAGTGCGTTTGGTATTATCCAAAAAATGATCTCCAATGAAATGGTCCTCACAAATGCCATAACGTTCATTGGCAATATTTTTCAAATTTTTTATTAAATCTGAACGCCTGCACACCAACAGCCAATGGTGCAATCTGACAAACAAAAAAGTAAACAAGTCAGACAGTAAAACTGAATACCAGAGTGTAGCATTTAAGAAATGGCTTTTACATCCAACTCATCTTAACAATAACATGCCAAAGGATCCTGGAAATATATTTCTCAATGTATTTCCAAAAAATGTCTTGCATACTTCAAAACAATAACAAACAAAATCTCAAAACAATATACTCAAACCATAACAATAATCAGTAATAAATTAGGGCATTATTGTTTTAAATTCAAGAAGTACTGACCTCTCTTCATTCGTTGGGAGAACAAAGAAACATTTATTAGGATGGTCTTTTTGATTCAAACCACATTCTGGTACAAGGCACTTCAAAACTTTTGATGTTTCAGCAGACAACTGATCTTCAATGTCACCATGAGAACTTTGAAAATCAAATGTATTCTGATCAGGTAATTGGTCTGTAAATTAAACGAGGTTATTTTAAAAACTAAAGTAAAAGAGTCACGAAATGTAATGCACACAACACAACATAACTGTATAACTTACCTAAATGTTTTTGAGATTCAGTCTCTGAAACTCTTCTCTTTTTAAAATTAATTTCGTTCACTTCTAAATTCATTTCATGGTCTATATGCAATTTATTCTTAAGTATTTGAAATGAATTTTCAGGACTGACCTCCATTGAGAAAATTTCGCCCGCAGAATTCCTCAACATTATTTTCATGATCTCGATAGACTAGGGCAGGCAAAATACGAGTTTGAATGTTTTATCAGGAAATAACGTTGTGTTGGAAAACAATGCTTAACATCCACTCAATCCCCAACTCTTCGTAAATACTGACAAGTTATTCTCGTTCAGTGTATCTGCAACATGACATCATTATCAAATCAAAATAGTACCAATTTATGTTTGGTATCATCTAAAATGTAAAGCGCGAACTCGTCAAAACAGTATTGTACAGAAAAATCGAAATATACACGTAAGTACCATTATATTTAATAGCATCATGTTAGCATTCTGGATCTGCGAAGGGGGTAATAAATTTAATTTACATACGAAGTAAAAAGTACATATCACACATCAAATAACCCGAAGGAGCAATTTTAGTAAATACGTGTTTTCATAGTGCTTTTTAGGTTATAGTAATGGCTAACAACATAACGGCAGAAAATAGTTAAAATAAATACTAAATTATTTAGCTTTTATAACGGTTAAAAAGTTCAGTGATTTTGCCTCAGTGTCTACTATTGAAATTGTTTCGAAAACTATATCTGCTTACAAATTTCTGTTGTGACTTTCCTATTTTGTAACAGGTTGTCAATGGAGATGTTGTATGCAGTGGGCGTTGATGTAAAGTTTTTGTTTATGAGAAGTGGTAGGAATGGTAAATAGTTACTGTGGCCCACCACTCGATTGACACTCTTTGTTATTATGGCCTGACAAGCAAATGTTAGAAGTTTGTGGGAAAGGGAGGATTATTTTTATTAAAGAAAAGTCTACCTCTATTGTAAAACTGTATTTGTGGAAACTGAAATTATGACGAGATGAGTAACAGACGTTGTGCTGCCAAGACTTGTTTTAATTTGCAAGGATGTCGTCCTAACCTAAAATTTTTCCCATTTCCTAAAGATGAAACTGCGTGAGTAACAAGGATTTTAACATATTATTAACAAATATTTCTTATGATGACCGAGCTCAATTTAACTTCTTAGATGTATCTTAAATTAAAAAATAAATACCAATAATTGCTACTGTCATAACCTTTTGACAATGTATACTATACATTTTTATTACAGGTGCAGGCAATGGGTCACAAATTGCGGTCGTACTGATTTGTTTGATAAGTCCATAGAACAACTTTCCAAACTTTTGCTTTGTGCTGATCACTTTGAACCTCATTGGTTTTTAAATCCAAAATATAAGACTGTGTTTGTTCGAACAGGGCAACCCATACCTACTATATTTCACAACAATTTGGCAGATTTTGTTCCTAAGTCATTGAAAAAGCAATTTGAATTGAAATATGCACCCAAAAATGAAACTGGTATGAATTTATTAATGAAATATATATGCATGTGTTTTTGACAATATTTATAATGAAATAATTAATAAATTATTTGATTTATAGGTGGGATGGAGCCTTCGGATGTGGAGATCAATTATGATAGTGGGCAAAGGAATCCCATGATTTTAGAGAATGCTCTGCTACCTAAGCATGGTTGCCACAAAATGTGCAGACTATGTGCTTGTTTAGTGTATGAAGACAAATTGATTTCCATTTTTTCAGAAGAAGCAAAAAGAGAGACCTTACTTCTAAAAATCAATCGCTTATTACCAGACAAGGTGATTATAAAAAAAATTATAAATTTGTTAAATATAAATTTGTTTGTATTTTCTGGAGGGTCAAAAATATTATCATTTCATTCTTATCATGAATTTATTGTGAAAAACCTTCACTTTACAGTTTTATTTCCGAATTTAATTGTTGTGCATCGATTTTGCTTTTTGCAAATTGCGTAATGCTAAAGAGGAGGGGGGGGTGTTTGAGGCAGCGTTACACTGCGTTACTTAGGGGCAGGGGGGTATTCGATTAGTGTTAGGTAACACTGATATTTTTTTTTTTACATTTTTTAACATTTGCTGAAATACTCCCTCTTTTGAGTCTTATACTAAAATATTAAAATATAATATATTTAAGTTGTTTTAAAACATAAATAATTATAGTTATTAGAAATTGTACAATAAATAGAAATATTTTTTCATAAATTTTGTATTGACTCAAGATTACGAAGAAAATATTCAAAACTGATCTGTAGTATTTTGTAGAATATAATGAAATTGGTGCAGTAGATTCTCACCCATGCACCATCCAAAATGGCGGTGTGTGCATGGCTGTGATCAGAAATTTTCGTACCTGTGCATTCTTCCTTCTCTCGAAATTTTCCCTCAATCTTATTGTTAGGTGCAGTCAGCATCAACAACTAATTCTGACTTTAATCATAAAATTTTAGTACATAACACAAATAAAATGAATACACATTTTTTACTGAGCTATAATTTATTTTCACTTCTTGTTTTTATAAGGTGGTATCATGATTATTATGTAATGTTCTAGGGGGAGTTCAATTGCCCAGTACGGGTGTGTTACAGGAGGGAGAGTGGGGATTCAAAATACTCCAAATTTGCATTATGTAATTTGTGGATGGCCTCTTAGTTCAAAATATAATTCATTTCATAACAGAAGTTAACGTTGAAGGCATCAGTGAATTAATTAATTTGTCATTCAATCATCAATGTATTGAAAGTTATTAGAACAAAAACCGATGATCATTTCTATGGTTTTGAGTGTTTAAAGAATTGACTTCCCCAGCCCTGGGAATTGAAAACGGATCTCCTAATGCAGTTGTTCTTACCTCTTAAGCTACTGTGACAGTCAACTCTTTGAACAGCCTTAAGAACCCTGATTGGTATACTATATTTTTCTTGACTTGGTCGGTTGGAAATTTAACAATTACGTGGGAATATGTTTCCTGTTTCACAATTGCAACACTCAGAGCTACTAAGCATGATGTAATTGTTATAAATAATATTTTTACATTTCAAAGAATTGTCTACTCTAGCAAAGAATAAAAACCAAATCTCTTGGTGTAAGCCCATTTGCTCTATGCACTTGAGGTACCAAGACAAACTTTGAATTGTGACTAGGTGGGGGAATGTATAGTTTATCTATTGGGGCTCTTGTCTCCTTAAGTCTGTCTCAATAGTTCAAGTAGTTACACCAACTGGGTCAATACCAGGAGATCCTGGTTTGATTCCTGGCTGGGGCAGTTGATTCTTTGAACAGAAAAAAACATGATTTATTTCAATTACATCACACTTAAAAGCTATGCAATTGACCATTGGATAATTGAAAAAATTTTTCACATGTAATGGGTTCACTGCCATTTTGACCTGTTGGTGGAATATATAAAAATAATGATAAAAAAACTGAGTTTCCAAAATATGTAACTGACAGATGAAAGAGGTGCTCTTTGATCATTCCAGCTCTCAAATAGAATATGTGATTGACGTCTGAAGTTTTTTGCAAAAGTCAGTTCTATTCTTAGTGTAATATATAGTAAGTTATTGTTTTTATTTGAATGTCATTTTCCATATGCTTGTATATTGTTGGTTTTGAAACATTCACGTTTTCTTATTAGAGTTTCTGGATTTTGTAAATAAAATTAAATTAATACAGTTGGTGTTATGGAAGTTTCTTTTCCAATCTTAGATAAAATTATTTAGTTAACTAGTTGAGGAAAATCTACTGTTCAAAATTGAACTTGAAAACTGAAAATGACTATAAATTGTGGTCAAGATGTTCAAAATTATGTTAGTCTATCTGGAAGTAGCACGGATGGAAGCACTTGAAAAGCACTTTAACCTGAGAATCATTGAAGGGATAAACAAGAAGTGTGGTTTATTTTCATAAGTAATATCATGAGAAGTGCTGTGATAGCAGCTGGTAAATTCACAACTCGTGTAGTGGGGAGTGAATTTACTGGTTATGACAGCACTTCGTGTGATATTTAGTGTGTGACGATGTGTTACATGACTCAAATGGATAATCAAAATCACAGGAAGGACGAAAAAGAGAAATATTTCTCAAAACTGCTACCAGATTATGTGAAACTTTCATTCAGCTCCAAGTTATCACTGCATCCTGGAATAACATATATCCAGGAAAAATATAAATAACAGTTTAATGCAGAAAATGATTTCAACTGTATTTCAATTGTAACAAAACTTAAAAAAACATAACAAAACTACTTACAAGGTCATTAATTAAAAATACAATTATTAAATTGTAGGTTGTTTTATTGTTGAGTTTTCCAAGTTAAAATTCCATGGAAGTATTTGAAATGGGAAACAGAACCTAATTAGCAGCAAGATCCGTCAGTTTTGAATGGATTGAACAAACGATGGTACTCATTTAAGTATTTTTCCTGTATAATTTTGGCTATATTGTTCCACACAGTTGTGATAGCATATTTTTTGTACTCTTTACCATATAATCCATATATTAAATGCCCAATCTTTCAAAGTGTAATTTCTGAATTTGTAGTTTGTGCTGTCAATTTGTATTTACTTTTTTCACAAAATTCTTCAAATTGCTTCCTCTGTTTCTTTTGCTGTTTCAGTACTGAATCTTTAATAATATATTAAATTTCAGAGCTTTAAACATTACCGAAACAACTTATTGTAATACAGTATTGATGTTCTGAAACTAGTATGGACGTAAAACAATTGCTATCGATTACAACACAAACAGTCAATTTTGTACTCTGCTGTAATCACAAAGTGATTACAGTGGAGTACAAAATTGATAATCAAATGTTGATAGACATCTGGGATTTGTTTAAGTAGAATATATTCTTGCTTAGTATTGGTTACTTATGACACTGGCAGACATGAGTGAAATAGTCTATGTATATGCTTTTATTTCCCTCATACGTTTTGAACTCTTTACAACTCCGGTGGTCTCCAAGCATTCTCAAACCAAACCTCTTTTTTTTTTTTTTGTTAATACACTTCATTAAAGAATTCTAGTTCTTGCTTACAAATATTTATAAACAAACAAACTGAGTTTAAATTTTGATCAAATCATTGATATTGAATGTACACAGCTTTTACTTTTTTTTAATCTTACTTAATCATGTAGCAATTATTTTTTGTTTTATTATAATATCATCATTTCATTATAAAGTATGATTTAGTAGGGAAAATTTTAGACTATCACTGTAAGAGTATGTTTTGTTTCAGGTTGAAATTGATGATGGTTTGCCACATCATGTCTGTGAAACATGTATATCGAAAGTAAATGATTGTAATCATACAGTAGACACATTTATTGCTGCAGACAAAAAGTTAAGGGATTTGTTCCAGAGTCCACATCCAGCTGCACAGAGTTTAACTTATATCAAATTAGAAGAGGCAAGTTATAAAACAGAATTTGTTTGCTATTTTTAAACTTTACATTTTCATGGATAATTCATGTACAATATTTTGAAAAATGAAATTCTCTGTTTTGCATTGAAAAATTGTAATTTATGTGTTGCAATCTTGCTTGTAGCAAGCAATTTACTATTGAAGAAAATAATATTAGAGCTCTTCAATTGCAAAGAATGGCATTACCCTAAGACTCCAAGACACACATTGTTGCCTCAGCTTGAATTATATGTTAATAATATTTTACAATAATCATTAAAATCTATACAACTTAACATTAAGTAATTAATATTCATAGGTTGTCCAGAAAGTAAAGAACGTTTTGTCATAATTAAATAAAAACGAAAGATATCAACACAAAACTTAATTTACGAAGTTACAATACCTTATTCTATTTTTCAATGTAGTTTTCATAGTTGTTTTGCCAGTTATTGTATCATGGGACTAGTTTTTCAATACCAAAGTTGAGGAGCATGTCATTGCTTCTTTGGTGTCATCATTGTTTGTGTACTACTTACCACCTAAAAATTCCTTAAACTTAAGGAATTAATGAAAATAACTAAGCGCCAAGTCGAGGATAAATAGGTAAGGAAAATTTCCCAAAATTTCCGACTTAAGATGCAGTGGTGAAGCTAGCGTCGTGCAGTTGGGTATTCTGAATATCTTATCTTACACTTTTTTATAAATCAGCACGATTCATCCGACTTATCATTCGGCAAATGCATTATTAACTTGTTTTTTAAAGCTGTTTTCTCTGGTTAATTTAGTAGACACATTTTGATAGCCAGTGTACTCAAATTACTGTCTGATATTTCCCATTGAATTTCTTAGTAATGTCTTCATTCTCTTTCATGTGACCATATTCCTTCACATAATGTTATAGATAGAGGGCAAATTATACTGAACAGTCTTTTTTTTTTCTTTTCTTTTTTTTCCCTAGACTGTTGTCTGAGAAATACATCAGCAAGAAGCCTGCAGGCATGTATTTTGCATTATACATTTGTCAGTTCAATTTGAAGCTGCTCACTGTCAAAGAAAGGATGTTACTTTATTATGAAAGAATACTTTTCTGAAGGGAAGGATGCTTAGTAGGTGGAAAACTGCTCTTTGCCAAGAAAGTCAATAAAGAGAAAGTTTACTGATAAAATGAAAATTTTGAAAGCAATAATTTTTTCTCTTTTCTATAATTCTGATCCTGAAAGTTTATTCATGGTTGTGTCTGCTTGGGGTCGTGATGCAGGTTTCAACAGTCTCTTCTTATCTAACATGACATATTATTATATATATCTACTATTTCTATCTATAAGGCATACTATATGCCTCATGATTTCGCATTGTTGAGAAAAAACTGCATTTCGGTATCATGAACCGTTTAGATGTTATGGGAGTGGCCAAGAGTTGGCAGGACATTCTTTGTAACACTAAATCTGTAGCAAACAACAACAATCACACAAACAACTCACTCTTATTTCCCGCAACATTAGGGTGCTGAGGCAAATTTGCTTTAGGGGCCGGGGCTTGGACGTGCAGTATGCTGGATGTCTAGGTGCTCTGCTCAGTGAGTGTGAGAGAGGAGATAGCACGTGCATTCGTGACAGCCAACTGGTGCCTGTTTACAAGCCAGCACACATCCGGCTCGGCCCATATTCTTTGGCTCATCTAGCGACCCTGCTGATTCCCTTCGAGTAAGCGGGGGTAAAATAAGTCAAAAACATTTAATTTTCTTTAATGATTCAGTAAAATAAATCCTAAAAAGACACACAGATTTTTTTGAAAAACAATTTGGATATTCTATGGTTCCCAGATTACCCCAGCTTTGCTTCTGTTAAGATGTTCAAGTTCTTGCTGTATTTGTGCTGATTAATGAGAGCATGCATATTCATGAATGAAAAACACCTTTCTTGACAACATTCCACGACTCTTGTTTTGGATGGTGCATCGAAGGCATTGAAGTATTTCTCAATAGGCTTCTAAGTTTATTGTTTCTGTTCTTGGTGTTAACAATATTTGAATCAAACCCTTTCAGTCCCAAAAAACTGTCACCATCACTTTTCTGGTGTCGAGACTTGCGTTTTTCTCTGTGGTTTAGATGGTTCGTGGAATGCCACTCTGTATTTTCTGAAATCTTGTAAGAAGTGTGAAGTATTTTCTTAAAACTTGTAAGTTTCATCTCATGATACTATGTGGTCTAGAAACTCGTCACCATCATTTTCATATTGGGCCAAAAATTCAACAGCTGCTCTCATCTGTTTTGTCTTATGGACCATCAGTCAAATTGTTAGGCAACCAACAAACACTTTTTTTTTATCCAAGGTGCTTTACCACTACTTCGTGTGGAAGTGTTTGTGAAATTTGTGACAAATATTTTTGAAATGTTATTAATGTGTATAAGTTTTGGATTTTTCATCAACTTTTGTTTTTAAATCGTCCATTATTAGCAATGGACTCCTACACCTTTCTTCGCTGTGCACACTGGTCCTTCCTTAAGTAAACATTCTCCACCATTTACTGAAGACATTCATTGCACTATTATCATAAATGTTCTTTATTTGGTTGTAATTTCAACAGGCTGAACACTTTGTGCATATCACATGTGGTGGAATTTTCAATGAACAACGAAACTTCACTCAAACACTGAGGCAGTGGACAGAACTAAGTGGTGTGTGTGCCATTGCAGTGGAGGGGGATTAATGCCGTGTGTGGTATACAGTTGTACTTTACTTTCTGGATGACCCTTGTATTATTTCATTTGAATTTGAAAAAGTTTGTCTTATATGAAACACCAAATGTTCACATGCAATAAGTTCTTGAAAATGGAAGTATTTATTATATAAAGAAAGTAGGCACATTCGTTCCTACTTGCCACAAAACTTGTAGAACCACTAGACTAATTGATTCCAAATTTGATTAGAATACTTTTGAGTGGCTGAGCACCAATAGTGTAGTTGTGATTCAAAATGTTAGTGCAAAATGTGTGTTTTTTTAAATTAAAATTTAGTTAAATGCATTTGCCAATTCATCTGGGTAGCATTGTTGCCTGGCTTTGCTAGGTGACAGTGGGCAGGGGCTAGTGGAACGAGATGGAGTGGGAATAATGGAGTGAGAGGTGTGGAAGAGAGAGGAGTTAGAGAAGCAGAAGGAGAGGGTGAAGGAGCGGGTAGAATGGAAAAGCGGAAGGTGTGGGTGTAGTGGAAAGAGCAGAAGCAGCTGAATGGGTGCCTTGGGCAAGCGGTGTGGGAAGATTGGTCATGGCAGGCCAGATAGGGCACATAAGATCAGCACTTTATAGAGGATTGGGGCACATAAATACCAAGGCAATGCTGGATAATCAGCTAGTTAATTAAATAATAATTTTCAATATCAGTAATTTACATAAGTTTTTGTCTTCTGTTCTTGTCCATGAATTTGTTCATCAAGTTATTATTATTTAATGATAGTAATACACCTGTTTCGATTACATTAGTCTTTGATGGCAAACTGAAAATATTTTTTTTTTTCAAACCAAAAGAAAATTGCTCTTCACTATAATTTAAAATGGGCATATACAGACTTCAATATATCGCACCTCCAATAGAAAAGTGACACAAGTGCGAATTTTTGATTTCTCAGAAATTGCAATTTTAAGTTTTGTAGTTCTGTAATACTCATTATAGATTGTACCAAATATTCACCTTCTAGCGGACAGTAATTGAACTAATTCAAAATCAACTTCAGAATAGTAGCAGTACCTCTTGGTAACCTCTTATCAGCTTTTACTGAAAAATGACAAGAAAAATCTTGGAGCCGTTTTTGAGAAAATTGCATTTGAGCGTTATTGAAAGTGCGCAATTTTGAGCTAGTGTTGACAGAAAACGATTCAGTTTTCAAGAAGCGTTATATAACATTTAAAGCACATGAACTCATAAATATAATAATGTGAACACATTGCCGGTAATGTGAATATTAACAACGTGAGAGACAATTAAAAAAATTACATTTGTGTAATTTTTGAAAAAACAGAAGGATAAAGCACTATGGCGTTCGTGTCTCTTCATAGAGTGCATTCATCACAATCCGTACCAATAGTTTAAAGAAAAAATATGGAGCCATTTTTGAGAATGTTTTGTTTTTGTAATTTTTTAAAATTGCACAAATTGTACACAGTATTGTGCGAAAACTACCCATATTTTAACAAATGGTATTTCAAGGGAAAATCTCTATCTTTAATTTTGTAGTTGTAGGAAGACCCCGAAAAAATTCGAACTTTTGACATTTTCTAAAATTTACAGTTAACCGTGTAAAATGGTCATATTTCACATTTTTAAATATATTTTAGTTAATGTAAAGTACTCTAAAAAATTATTGAATGTTTTTCAGAATCGCAGAGCTTCGACTCAGGTCAAATCGACTGGTGTATCTTCAATTTGGAAAAAAATCCTACGCATCGTTTACGCGCTAGTGTTGTTCACATACACCGGACGGACGAGCGTTTTGAAAAAAACAACACTTTTTCGGTATCAGGGGACCCCGAAATGTGTATTTCCGTTGAAATCTAAAAATCGATTTTCCGCAGCATTACATAACCTTCCCTATGCTACATATATTACTCTATATATACGTACGTACATTTCAACAAATTACAGCTGCATTACTACCAATAAATAAGGAACTTCAATGCCGAGCCAAGAAAGTAGAGGCTCAAAGCGAATGTAATAATAATCACAACAACAACGACAACAATAACAGACACAGCTTCTGATTCTACTTAACATGAAATGTGAGGAAAAATGTTTTATAAATCGTCGAGAGACAAACCACTCCATGGTCAATGTTTCAAAAGAATGGACAAGTGGCAGATCAATGAAGACCAATCATTTATGTAGCTTAAAAAGGGAAGGATGAAGCCAGAATTGGAAGTAGTTCTAATAGCTGCCCAAGACAGGTGTTGACATTACGATAAAGTTCTCAAAATTTCCCAAGATAAATGCATTTGCCAGGAACAAATAGAGCCAATTGAACATATCGTCCCAGCTTATCCAATTCTAGCGAAGACTAAATACTTAAAAAGACACGGTGGTGTTAAAAAGATATGGTGTGTAGTTACCTCCACTATATAACCGATATCCTCCGATAACAAACCGGATATTGTTATCCGTAATTTGCAGAAAAGACGTGTGTACTTGTAGTAGTTGGTGTGCCGTGCGATCAAAACGTCGTAACGAAGGGGGCAGAGCAGCGTCTTAACTGCAATAGTTTGGAAATGGAGATCCGCCGAATGCGAAGCGTAAAAGCATAGGTCGTCTCGGTAGTAATCGGAGCTCAGATTTCGTTCCGCAAAATTTGTGTAAGAACTTGGCTAAACTCTCAGGTCATTCAAAAGACTGTGAAGTGCAAGACATTGCTTTG